CTGCAGCGCCCGTGAGGCCTGGGCGGCCGGCCCCACAGTCTCCAGGGTTCTCCGATTCTCTGAGAAAGGCCGCGCGCCACACCCGCAGGGAGCAGGGGGCGCCCCACCATGGCCCAGAGACGAGGCGGTGCCAGGCTGGCCACTCGGTGTGCTGCCGCGCAACGGGACGCAGAAGGAAGTCTCCCCTCTGCGCCTCCGGCACAAGCCGGGGGTGCCAGGGTGACTTCCGCCCTTGCCCAGAGACCCCGGAGAGGTGGAGCGGAGGGGGGGTGTAGGAAGGAAGAGCAGGCTTTTTCGGCTCCCTCATGGCAGTCATCGCAGAAGGCTTCTGTGACCCTAAGGGTGTGGGGTCACCAGCACGCAGGCAGGCAGCCCTGCAGCGTGGCCCCAGCTGGGTCCTCTGACACCGCCTGCCTGGGGACAGTGTCACCTCCCATGGGCGAATGGCTCGGTCCCGAGCCTGCCCCTGCCAGAGACTCAGTCACGAATCTGGGCCTCCACAGCTTGGCTGCAAACTGGGGCTCCCACGAACCCCTCCTCAGGTTCTGCCAGTTTGCAAGAGCAGCTCACAGAGCTCAGGGATGCCGGCTTCCCAGGCCGTGGGAGTTGTTTTCAAGGATACAGCGAAACAGCGATGCAGAGCTGCGTGGGGCCAGGTGCGGCAGGGGCCGGGCACAGGCGCTCTGTCCCCGGGGAGCGGGCAGCCGGGCCCCAGCACAGGGGTGAGTCTTGGTGACCTTCCTGCAGCCTGCACGTGCCCACTGGAGCTCCCCGAACCCTGTCCTTTGGGTTTTTTTAATGGTGATTTGATTGCATAAGCGTGACGGAAGTGTGGACAGCCGTGTAGAAATGTGATTGGGCCAAAGGCTGTGGCCCGGTGCTGATAGGAGGGGAAGCCGCAAGGCGCCTGCCCAGCTGCCTCTCAGCCCGTGTGCAGCGCTCTTCCTCCCGCGGCTGGGGCAGGACCCCTCTCAGACGGGGGCCTGGGGTTTATGGCCAGCTCCAGCACAGGCAAGGAAACAGTTTTTATGAGCTGCCTTGAGGAAGACTTGCTCTGGTTTCTGTGGGGAGGGGGTTAGGAGCCAGAAACCAGGCGAAAAAATCAAAACGCAGATGAGAATATTTCCAAAAACTCACAGAAAAGTGAAGCGGGGGACGTGTGGGTGTGAGTTCACACCCATTCCCTCCCCCGCAGCGCCACCTGTGCCCTCCGCAGGTGTTCAGAAGGGTGTGGGCTCACCTTTCTCGCTGCCTGCCGAGGGAAGAGTGGTACGCGCCGACAGCGCTGGGGGCAAAACAGCCCCTACAGGAGACTTGGTCTTGCTGCCAGGAGAAGGGAGGGGTGAGGCCGTCTCTGGGCAGGGCCGATTCTCTGAAAGCTTTAAGACGATGTCAGCTCGCGGACTGTTAAGAGGGTGCGTCTCCTGGACTGCTCGCAGTTGGCGCAGCCCCGTGGCTGGAACCACCGACTGGGGTTGCGCTCGGGCCCCGGGCAGCTCCTGCAACAACCCAGGAGACGTTGTCCTTGGCTGCTGCTGACCCCCGTAAAGCAGCCAGCCCCCGCTGGAGGGACAGGAGCCCTCCCGGCCCTGTGGGGGGCAGCTCAGCCCGTGGATGGGTTTTCTTCTACCTGGATCTCAGGGTAAGGGAGGCAGACGCCATCTCTAAACTGGCTGCTCAGGGCTCAGAATCTCTGCCCGTTTCTGTCCCAGCTCCCCAGGTAATGGCTTGTCTTCCGCACCTGTCTTTCTCACGCCCGAGGAGCTGGCTGTGTGGGAGCTGGCCGGGCTGCAGCTCAGGAGGAGTTAACATGGCAAGTGGGCAGCGTGTGGGACTCGGATCAGCTGTCAGGACGAGTCTGTATGTGCGCACCTGCGTCAGGCGAGGCGTGGGCCGGGGCCCTGGGTGGAGTTAGAGACCCCTGAGGGCACCTGGCTCCTTGTCACCGCCCTGCCACAAGCCACTCCTCTCCTAAACCAGGACAGGGTTGTGGCAGCCATAGTCCTGGAGGGTGGAAGGTCCCAGAAGTCCCTGTGTTCCCCAGTCTCCTGCCTGCGACTCTACTGTAGGCGTGGACACAGGGGTCTCATCCCGCCACAGCTAACGTGGCCACAGACTAGCAATTTCCTGCCCTCTGTTTCCTGCAGCTTCCTCTGCTGGTCCCCCTGGACTGTAGGCTCCAGGGGGACAGGGCTGTGTCTGTCCACTGTGCTGTCCCCCAGACAACCGGGGCGCTGGCCGGCACGCAGCAGACACTCGGGGCACCACTGTCGAATAAATGAACGAGCCCGGCTGGGCCTGTGGAGCCGCTGTCCTCACGTAGCCTCATCACCTTGCGGCTGCACATGTGACGTGGTGTCGGGCCTTCACCCCCACCCAGGCTCTTCACTGCTTCTCGCCCCCGGGAGTGTGACTTCCACTGTGGAATGCAGGTGGAGGTGGGCTCCCGGAGCACTGCCTGTGGTGGGTCAGGGACTTGGGCAGGCCCAGGGCAGACATGGTGAAGACCCGGCTGTCCACGCAGCCTCAGTGAGGAGGGCGAGAGCTGGTGTGGTGGTGGTGGTGCAGGTGCAGGTGCAGCCCCGGGCCCTGGGGTGAGCCCCTGAGCCCCACTCCGTGCCATGCTTCCCGGCAGTGTCTGTCGCTCACGGCCCGTCATCCTCATTTCACCTTGATTTATGGTCAGACCTAATGAGTTTGGGGAGCAGCTGTCTCCCAGGGACAGAACCATCAATCTAGGAGACAGCTGTTAAACTCTGCTCCTCCTGCAGAGGGAGGGAGGGGCGAGCACACAGGGCCGCGGCACAGGGGCGGGGGCAGTGGGGTGGGCTTCGTGTCCCTGAAGACCAGAGACCCCTGGCCCTCTCCCAGGGTTGGCCCCGAGGGCGGGTGCTTCCTTCTCTCCTGGGCAGGCAGGTTGGGGCCTGGCCCAAGCCCAGCAGGTCTAGGGTGAGTGGATGCTCCTTCCTCTGCTTGGACGTAAGGCACTCAGGTTTGCTCGCCGCCAAAGCGGGTGGCATTTCCCTGCTGCTGGGCCACACAGCCAGGCAGAACAGTGCGAGGTGTGACTGGGGGGAGGGAGAACACCGCACACACACACCCAGCCTCCCGTGAAGGTGGGGGTGCATCTGGTCTGCTGCGGGCGAGAATTAGGAGATGGGGGCGGTTAGGAGACTGTGAGATACGTTTCTCACCATAGCCATGGCTTTGCAGGCCATCCTGGAATTTCTAGAAAATGTCCCACATCCTCACTGCTTGTCTCAAAGTAAGCCAGCCAGCCAGTTTCTCTCTGCCTCCCAAGCGCAGAGGCCGGGAGGAAGGGGGGTGGAGAAGCACCAGGCAGCTGCACGGTTTGCTGGTGCCGGTTTGCCGGTGCCCGAGGCAGGGTCGAGCCCAGACACCTAGAGGATTTCTCCACCGGCCTCTTTCCAGATCCACGCGCGCCTTGGCCGAGCCTCTGAGCAGCACCGGGTCAGGAGGTGGCGCCTGGGTGGCAGAAGCCGAGCAGGGGCCAGTCTTGCCTTAGAGCAGCGGCTACCCCTTTGCCCTGCTCACCAAGGCGGCAGAACTGCTTGCTGTGGCTTCCTGAATAACTAATCACCGGCAGCCCCAGGGCCTCCAGGCCCAGGGCCGCCTGCTGCGCCTCCTAACCCTCCCTGGGCCAGGACAGAGCGAGTGGTGCACGCGACTCTACCCGCAGCCTGTCTGCTTCCCCCTGACAGACCAGGGCCAGGGAGACCTGTGAGGCCGTGGGGTCAGGAGTGGCAGGGACAGAGCGGTCGTGAGAGGCAGGGACAGATGATCATCTTTCTTGGCCATTTTCACAGCGGTCCCCTCACTGCCTCCTCCCTCCTTGTCCCCCAACAGTGTCAGGTGTCTGATTAAAGTTACAGATGAAGGTTCTGTCCCACTCCCCAGTGTCACTGAGGGAAGACATTGGCATAGCCTCCTGTGCGTCCTGGGAGAACCTTCCAGAACCTGAGGGGCCCCCAAGCTGCGTGCCAGCCTCTGCCGGCGACTGCTCCTTTCACGCTTGCCTGCGTTGCACGCCAGGAGGCGTCACATGTCCTTGCGGCTTTACCTGGGGGCTGGGGCAGGCTGCAGGGCTCTCGGGACTGTCGTGAGCACAGACGACTGGGGGCTTGGAAACCCCAGAGCAAAGACCAGGACGCCACCCGTGGTCTCTGCGCGTGTTCAGGAAGTAATGGTGGCAGTTCCAGGTAATCTGGAAAGCAGATCCCAGGAGCCAGACAGACACGGAAAGATCTGGAAGTGCCGTCTCCCCAGAAGGTCAGGAACGCTTGTCTCTGGCTGCCCGGCTCTTGCTGAGCCCCGTGTTGTGCAGCGGCCTGCTGTCTGCAGCCACTCGGCTCAGCCCCGCCTGCAGGGAGCTGGTGTTCCAGGGCACGGGGCGCTGAACCCGTCTCCAGGAGGCTGCCCTGCAGCCAGCCCTCTGTCCCCTCACTGAGCCACCAGACCAGGAGAGCAGCCTCGGTGCCAGCCGCTCGGGACCCGGCAGTCCCCAGCACTGTCCTTGGTGCTTTTCTGTGGCTGCTGGCCACGGCCTGTGTGCTTCGGGCCCCTATTGCACCCCCTCTGCACAGGGCCCCCACGCTCCTGCCTGTTTGCCCTCGGCCCAGGACACCTTCTGCCCTCCACACCCACCAGGTCCCCAGACACAGGCTTTTAACCAAGGGAGAGAGCGTGACCAGAAGTCCTGACCCAGCCTTCTCCCAGCCATGAGCCCCGAAGACCCCCCTGGGGCTGAGGACGGAGCCGACAGTGCCGGGCCCAGATCATGCCCTGCCCCTGCTCTAGGGCGCGGGGAGGAGAAGGGGACCGGAGGACGCTGCTCTGGGCGTGAGACCAGGCCTCTGCCGACCTGCCCCAGACCGTGGCCTTGGGGGCATGGGTCTGTGTGTCTCGCTGCTGCTGCTTGGGCTGAGCTGGGGGAGGGCTGGCACCGTCCCTGCGGCTGACTCTTCCCCTCTGTCTTGCAGCCTTCGCCATCATGATCGTGCTGGCCCTGGTCCGCATCGGGCACGGGCGAGGGGAGGGCCGCCCGCCGCTGGCCGACTTCTCGGGGCTCCGGAACCTGTTTGGGGTGTGCGTCTACTCGTTCATGTGCCAGCACTCCCTGCCCTCCCTCATCACCCCCGTCTCCTCCAAGCGCCACCTCACGCGCCTGGTGTTCCTGGACTACGTGCTGATCCTGGCCTTCTACGGCCTCCTCTGCTTCACCGCCATCTTCTGCTTCCGCGGCGACAGCCTACTGGACATGTATACTCTCAACTTCGCGCGCTGCGACGTCGTGGGCCTGGCCGCCGTGCGCTTCTTCCTGGGCCTCTTCCCCGTCTTCACCATCAGCACCAACTTCCCCATCATCGCCGTGACCCTGCGCAACAACTGGAAGGCGCTCTTCTACCGCGAGGGCGGCACGTACCCGTGGGTGGTGGACCGCGTGGTGTTCCCCACCATCACCCTCGTGCCCCCCGTGTTGGTGGCCTTCTGCACCCACGACCTGGAGTCCCTGGTGGGCATCACGGGAGCCTACGCGGGCACCGGCATCCAGTACGTCATCCCGGCCTTCCTGGTGTACCACTGCCGCAGGGACACGCAGCTGGCCTTCGGCCACGGGACCCTCAACAAGCACAGGTCCCCGTTCCGCCACACCTTCTGGGTGGGCTTCGTGCTGCTCTGGGCTTTCTCCTGCTTCTTGTTCGTCACCGCCAACATCGTGCTCAGCGAGACCAAGCTCTGACGGCAGGAGGTGTCCAGTGACAGGAGTGTGGGTGGGCAGGCGGGCTGGGCCGGAAGGGCCCCCGGCACCTCCAGCTGGAGGCTTCTCCGCGGCCGAGACTCCACCCAGCGTGCACCTGGCCCCACCAGCCGGCAAGGCGGGCCCCCGTCCGTGCTGGCAGGCGCTGCTCTGTTGTACATGGTCCTGCCCCCACCCGAGAGGTGGGCTCCCCTGCTCAGTGGGTGACGCGGTGCTGGCACCGCTGCTATTTATACCAGACCCCCCCCATGGCGCTCCCGCCCCCACCTGTCTGGGAACTCTGCTCCACTGGCCGCTGCTGCCTCCCCGGAGGCCAATCCCTGACTCTGTCGTCCTCACGCAGCCTGCCGGGCCTGGGAGTCACCAAGTGACACTCCTGGAGCAGGGCCTGGCCAGCCCCAGGGACACGGACAGGAAGTGCTAACTGGCACAGGGCCCCCACACCAGAGCTGCGAGGGCCCTTGCTGTGGGCGCCAGCTCCGGAGCAGCAGGTGCATGGGCCATCCCTTCCACGGGGACACGACAGCCTGAGGGCTGGGTTCAAAGCCCAGAGAGGGACTCTGTGCCCCTGGCTGCCCCACTGGAGCCCTCGGGGTCTCCTGCCACTCCCACCCCCACCCTCCGTGACTTGGGAGTGCCCTGGGCAAGTGGCTGTGACAGGGCCCCACAGCCCCACGCTGCCCGGCTCCCCTGGGAGCCCAGCCGTGGGTGCTCGGCGTTCACACGCCCATGGGTTTGGAGGAGCCACCCGCTGCCGCTCCCAGGAAGCGAGGCCGGCCCCCAGCTGCTTCCATCACTGCCAGGGCGGCTGGGGACTCAATGTGCCTTTTCCTGCTTTGTGCCCGGAGGTCCTCCCTGGCCCGTCCTCAGCCCAGGGCCCGAGCCCAGCTGACCTGGAGCCCAGAGCAGCTCACCTTGCAGCTGCCTCTCTGGGGTGGGGTCTCAGGCCCCCTGCCCCTCCCACTTTTGATGTCAGTGCCTTGCTCAGCCCTCAGGAGCGCACCTTCCTTCTCCTCCTCCCCACCTGGGAACCTGGCACAGGGCCGCGATGCTGGGTTTCCTGGGGCCCAGGGCGGTGTTGGGTTGGGGCTGCCTTCCCCCGGTGGTCACAGCCCGGCAGTTCGCACGGCTTGTCCCCGCATAGCACTGTTTCCCGTCCACGTGAGAGACACACACCCCTTCCCCATCTGCCCTTCTGGCTTCTCAGGAGGCCCTGCCCCAGGTGGGCAGAGCCGGGCAGGCACCGCTCTGCTGAGGCCAAAAATGACGAAGACAAGGCTGGAGCCCTCCCTGGCACTGCCCGGCTGTTTGCTGAAAACTCAATTACAACATCTGTACTTCCCCTTCTCCAATTACAGCCCCTCTCGCTTAAGGACAAAACAAATTAAATCATCTCGCCTCCCCAGGCGCCAAACCAAAATTTGGACGCAAATTTATTAGCATCATAGAGCCCAGGTTGATTTATGTGACAAGCTGCCGCCACACACAGCAGTGGAGTCGGGTGGCTGCGCTCCCGGCCACCTCTGAGCCAGGGGGGATGGCGGGAAGTGGCCGTGTCGCCCGTGCCGAGCAGGGGCCCTCCCCACCGCCACGACCTGGGTTCTGTGCACCTGCTGTCTAACTTCCAGAGGTCAGATGCAGCCGCTTTCCTCCTGTCACTGGTGGGCAGCAGGGCTTGAGACAGCGGGAGAAGACCCCCGCGGCTGGGCCTTCCCAGGTGTTGTTGTCCAACCCACGCTGCAGACACACCCAGCCCTGAGTTTCTGCACCTGCTTGATGACGTGGGCAATTTTGGTCATGGTTTCAGTTTTACAGAAGCCGCTGGGGTCAGTGGAGGTGACGACGGCACAAGGTGCCAGCCCAACCTGGCCCCAGGGACAAGTGTCACGGAGGAGCCGGACTTCAACTCAGTGGCCTCCCCCTGTGCTGCCCGGATGCCCGAGGGCAGGCCGGTTCAAGGTGGGAGAGAGCACTCCTAGCCACGCCGCCTGCCGAACCCCAGGCCCACCTGTGCACCTCACCTGAGGCCGACGAGGTGGCTGCGGGCCTGGAGATGGGGCAGATGGCAGACGACAGGCTGAGGCAGTGCTGAGTGGTGGAAGGTGGCAGAGGGCCCCGTGCCAGGCCCTTAGCCGTGCAGCTGTTCTAGGCACAGGGGGCCCAGGACAGCCTCAGCAACAGCGGCCTGGCCTCCCCCTGTTCTGTAGCCCGTGCTCAGCCCCAGGTCCTGCCCCGGGGGTGGGCGGGGAGGTCAGGGTCGTTCCTTGCCTCTTGGGAAGTCAGAAGTGGGAGGGAGCCTGTGTAAAGGTCAAGTTCCCAAGCAAGGCCACTGGAGCTGGCTCCTCAGCGACCAAGAGGCAGGGCTGCGTGGAGGAGGAAGCTGGGCCATCTGTCCCGGGCCTGGGGCTGACTGTCACACAGAGGCCTCTGGGGGCTGGGCATGGTGTCGGGTGCGTCCCTCGTGACCGAGCAGTGGGACCTGCTGCTTGTGGGCAGAGCGCCGGGGCTCCTGCCTCACTGCCGCTGTAGGGAGGCCTGAGCTTCCTGCCTGTCCCCAGCACAGAAGTGCTCCGTGAGCTGTTCCTGATGGCCTGGCAGGTGCCCTCCTCCCTGTCACTCCCAGCTACAACCAAGGAGCGGGGGAGTCACTCAAGACTCAGACTAGAGGGCTCTGGGGAGAGGGGCTGTCTCGTCCCCTGACACCCTAGAAAACTTTCAAAGGGCAAGGCAGGCTGGGTGGGCACCTGCTTCTTGAAGAAACGCCAGGTGTAGCAGGACAGAACCAGTCAGGTCGTAAATTTCCTCCTGGGAGGCTGGTGACAGGGCCTGTCTGTCCACCGTCTCAGCAAATAAGAAAACAGCAGCCGAGTGTCTGGTATCTGGTGGCAGGGCTGTGTGTGCGATGCTTCTGTAGCCACGCCCTCACCCCCACTGGCTCCCTGCCAGGCCCTCTGCTGTGGCCTTGGTGGTGCCGGAGAGGCAGGGCCCTGCACTCCCAGCAGGAGGCACCCTTCCTGCCCCCCCCCCCCCCCCCCCGTCCCCGGGCCAGGCTCACGTTCCCCTCCCCCAGAATCCATTCCTGGAGAAGGCAGGAGGCAGCCAGCGCTGCCCCAGAGAGCCGGGAGCAGGAGGTGCGGCCCCTCCTTGGAACCAACAGCAGGCTCTGCTCCACATTCACCTCTTAATTATCTTTCCAGTTCTTGGTTATTAATGATCTCGGGCAGCGAGCAGAGCAGCCTGGATCTCACACTTCCTCCCGGCCTCACCTGCTGCAGCCTTCCACCCAGAGCTTAGGCAGACCCTGGCTCAGAGGATGGGGCGGGGGTCAGGGCCAGGGGCTGGCGGGGCAGGGGGAGGTGGGGGGACAACAGTTAACCCTCTCAATACCAGTGGCTGTGTCCAAAGCCAAGCTCCCTTGAGGAGTGCTTGGCCCGAAGCCCTCACCTACACACACACTCTGCACCTGTTGTTGAGTTCCCCACCCCCACCCCACCCCCAGGCAATCTTGGTCCTGGTTCCAGCCCACGAAAATCTGCAGGACAGAGGTGAACTGACAGTAAGGGATGGCGCCACCCATCCCTGGGGTGCTCGGACTCCAGGCGAAAATGGAGGTGGATCCTGCCCTACGGTTCCAGCTGCACGCACCCTAAAACCACGCCATTCTCACAGGCGGGGTCTTTGAGACAGAGGGAACCGGGCTCCCTGAGGGTCACAGGGAGCTGCAGGGACTTCGGTGGTCCCAGCTTCCTCGTCTTCCCTGCCTCCACCCGGCCTGTCCAGCACATCCCGGCCTCGCCTTCCCGGCCTCAGCTCTCAGGACCCCCGGTGGAAGGATGAGCGCGTGCTTGCGGGGTCCAGGGTGTGGGGCAGGGGGGAGCCGTAAATGAGATCGTGGTTGTGAAAACGACAGCCCCCCCGTCTCAGATGGCTCAGTGCCAGTGATGCGTGACAGCGACAGGAGGTCAGGCTGGGAGCCCTGGAGGGCAGACTCCCCCACCCAAGGTGCCATCAAGGCTGAGCTGCACCTGCACCCAGAGCCCAGAGCCCAGAGCCCAGAGCCCAGCGAGCAGCTGTGGGCCTCTCACATCAGCCATGGAGCGAGGGCAGCCAGCCAGGGCTCCCCGCAACAGCCTCTCCGCGGCCTTTTCCACCATGACACCCCAGGGGTGTCCCCGGCAGGGCAGCCAAAGTCCCTGGCACGAGCCTCCCTTCTCAAGGAGACAGGGATGAACGCCATCCATCAGCACCAGGGCCCCACGCTGAGCACATTTGTCACATCCGGCAGCAGGGTCGGGGGAGCTGGCACAGAGTGCAAGCCGAGCGGCTTCTGCTGCCTGGAGGCCCCTCAGCTTCACCTGCTCCCCACATCCCTCCCGATGCCCTAGAGGCTGGGTCTGCTCCAGAGGGCACCGCCCCCTGCTCCAGGGATACTCCCATGATGCTCCACGGCTCACAGGCTGTGTGGTGCTCTGTCCACCAGGATGCAGAATGAGGCAGCCAAGGCCAGTGGGTTGTCAAAGGTGGGTTTATTGTCCCAGTGCTCTCTCTCTAGTGGGTGGAGCAGGAGTGGCTTGGCCTCGCCTCAACCCCAAGTTCTGGCCTCCGCGCCCCAGGCCGCAGCAGCCACGGCCAAGGATCGGCAGACTCCGGGCAGGCAGACCCTGCGGTCTGACCCCACTGCTCCTGTGCCTCCAGGCTGGGCGAGCGGGATGCGGCACAAGGGGACAGCAAAGGCTGGGTCTCACACCAGGACCTAGGCTGCTGAGGTCACTGAAGTGGCCATGGAAGACATCACGGTCACCCGGGGCCAGCAGATGCCGGAAGAGCCCCAGCCTTTGGGGCCCCCGTCCCTGGCAGTGCCAGACGGGGAACCAGAGTGCCTGGCGCTCACACTTCCGACTCCAGGCTGGAGATCCGCCTCCAGGTGCACGGTCCCGGAAAGTCCTGTGTCCCACAGGCTCCCCTGGCGGCCTCTCGCGGCCCTCCACTGTCCCTGTAGCCCGTGCTCAGCCCCAGGGTCCTGCTGCCCCCATACGCCAGAGGCCCCCAAGCCCCTGTGAGCCAGGGGCTGTGGCTGACACAGGGTGGGAGGTGAGGGCACACAGCTCCCCAGCAAAACGGCAGGTGGGCGTGGGCGTGCAGGCAGGTGTGCTGTCTGGGCCGCCAGGTGGGCACGCCCTCCAGGCAGGCCTCCCGGTAGGACGGCAGCCGCATGGACTGTGCCTGCACCAGGCGCCCACAGGGCAGGCGCCCGCTGGGGCACAAGCAGGCTGTGCAGCTGCCCCCAACAGGCCCCGGACAGGGCCGAGCGAAGACCTCGGCCACCGAGCTGGGCAGGGAAGCGTGGCGCGGGCGCCGGTCCTGGGCCCAGGCCGCGCGCAGCAGAGCCTCCCGCCGGGCCAGCTGCTCGGGACCCAGCAGCGGCAAGTCCTCCGGCTCTGGGGGCTCCGGGAAGAGTGGGAGAATGGGGCGTCCCGACCGGTCGGCCCGAGGGAAGGAGCTGTAGCGGCAGCGCGCGGGGGAGAGGGGGCGCTCTGGCCACGTGCGTCGCTCGGAGGCCGAGAAGCGCCGCCCACCACGCCCAGCCGGCACCGGCCACCGTACCTCCCAGGTGGGCCGGCAGGACACCCGGGGGACGTCGAGCGGCTGCGGCCTGGGCGTCGGGGGGCGGCACGGGGGCTGCGGGCCCCTGCGCCCTAGTGCGGCACGGCTCCCGCCAGGCGTATCCCAAACCCTGGGGCTCGGTTCGGGGAGCGCCCTAGGAGTGGGCGAACACGGGCAGGGTGCGGGCCCGGGGGCCGAGCAGGCAGACGGCGGGGGCGCGCGACGCCCGCTGCCCCAGCTCTCGATGGTGCGCGTGGCTCGGTCCAGGGAGCTGCTCACCCCCGCCGTGGTCACCATGTCGCGTGCCGCCTGCAGCATCTTGAGCACGCTGGCCTGCGCCGAGCCGGCTGTGAGGTCGGGGCTGGGCGGCCGCGCGGGGCTGGGCAGGCTCTGCACCCCGCTAAAGCAGCTGTAGATGCCCTGGGGGGAGGAGACAGGCGTGAGCGGCGCCCTCCTCTCGGGCCCCACCTCCGCTGTCCCCGCCCAGGCCCGATGCACCGCCTACTGCAGCCCAGGGCGCGCTGCCCTCGCCGCTTTGCGGGTCCGTGAGCTGCCTGAGCCTTCAGGGTGAACCGATGGCTTCACCACACCAGCAAGGGGTCCCCACCGGCCTCCGGCCCCCGCACGGAGGGGGTGCCACCCACCCTGCTGAAAGCCAGCAGGAAGTCCAGCTGGGAGGTGCTGGGCACGGAGTGGCGCAGTTTCCAGTAGACCAGGTGCTCCCAGGCGAAGACCAGCAGGGCCAGCCCCATGGCCACCAGCAGCATGTAGAAGACCCCCGCCATGTTGTCGATGTCCAGCTTGCTGCTCATCACCTCGTTCTTCTCGTTCTGGCAGATGCCGGACAGCCAGACCGTCTCCAGCTTCTGGGTCTCTCCTGGAGCGGGGGCGCGCCGGGCTCAGCAGCCCCTCAAAAGGAGCAGGGCGCTCACACACACACTCACACTCCTACTCACACTCACACACCCAGTCACACACACTCAAAGGCACACCCTTACACTCACATGGTCACACGGTCACACACACACTCATATATGTACACATCCACATTGCTGCACACTCTCACAACCTCACACACACACTCACACTGGCCCCCGGCCTGCACGGAGGAGGGGTCCGGGGCCAGGGTATCCAGGCCAAGGTTCCAGTGGCCCCACCCAGGGATCCAGCCCAGGAAGGGCCGGAGGGGGCGGGGCTCCGTGATGAAGAACAGAGTGGGAACAGAGTGGAAGCTGGGGGTGGGGAGCAATGCCAACCTGGGATCCCGGCCCTGCCCGCCCCCTGCCCACGGCGCCCACGTGCCCTGTTCAAGGCCGGCTGACCGAGTGCACCTCACCACCCCCACCAGCACCACCACTGTCACCCACTGAGTCACCACGCACGCGCCCCGCGGGCAGCCAGGCCCAGGCCACCGTGGCTCTCACCCCCCTGCAGCACCAATGAGAAAGGCGGGGTTTTGTTGTCTGTGCGTCTGTGTCATCTTAGAAGGCTGCAAGCCCTTGAAACTACCACTCTGTGGGTCTAGGGGCAGGCGGGGCTGGGCCACTCAACAGGTGGCTCGAGGCCGGCCCCTGCCTCAAGATGGAAATGGGGACGGGAGAGACTCGCGTGGGTCGTGGGCCGTGGGCCGAGGAGGTGCTCGTGGGAAGAACGGCGTTCAGCCCCCCACAGTCCTCACCGTGGGACCCAGCGCCTTCCTGCCCTCCTGCCTCTCTCTGTTCCTGTCCATCCCTGCCCACCTGCCCCCTCCCACTGCCCCGACCCCCCCTCCTACCCCGGCCCTGCGCAGCTCCCAGCCCCAGCACCCACCGTCCCCCAGGAACTGCAGCAGCGCCAGGTCGATGGCCCGCTTCCAGTGGGAGTCCTTCTGCATGGCGATGCCGTAGCCCGTGGTGGCGAAGACCTTGCCGGAGCCGATGGTGACCAGCTTGCAGCCCTCGTCCTTGCCCGCCATGTAGTTGAGCACGGCCGCGTCGTAGATAAAGGCGTCCAGCTTCCTGGGGAAGGCTGAGCCCTGAGACCCGGGGCCTGGGTCGCCCAGGAGGGTCAGCCGGGCAGAGCCCTGAGACCCGGGGCCTGGGTCGCCCAGGAGGGTCAGCCGGGCAGAGCTTCCTCTGGTGCCCAGCAAGGACCCCTCCCAGCCTCCTCCTGGGCAAGGCCAGGGAGCTGTGCTTCTCCAGGGGACACACTCTCTGCCCAGCCCCGCTCAGGCCAGGGCTGAACTCCGGTGGACACCACAGGTGCATTTCAGGGACACGGGGTGGGCATCTGTACCTCACGACTGCCTCTCCCCCTCCCCAGGGGTCCCGCAGGACCACCCAGCCCACCTTGGGTCTCTGAGGAAGGGGCAGAGCTACAGCTGGTCGCCTGGGAGATGCCTGCCCAGGGGCAGGGTGGGGGCGGGGCGGAGGCGGGGCACCCACCCTGTCTTGAGGCTGGTGAGCGCGTCCTCCACGGAGCGCTGGTTGAACTTGACCATGTGGGTGTGCATGTCCCGGTAGTTGCTGCGGATGTTGCGTTCCGTGCTGCCGTTGGGCACCGTGCCGAAGCGGAAGGGCGGGTACTGGTCTTGAGGCCGCTGGAACTGCGGGCCGAGGGCAGCGGCCATTCGCCCTCCCCCCTCCAACCTCCAGGCCCCGCGCCCTGGAGTGGCACGGCTGGAGCAGAAGGGTCTCACGCGCCATCCAGGCCACCCTTGTGCTTCACACATGGGGACCCCGGGGCCCAGGACAGGGCGGGACGGCCCCGGGCCACTCCTCAGTGGGCGCGAGCCACCTCGCACCGCAGCGCCCCGCCCCCGCCTCTGGCGCCCCGTGTCTGCCGCGCCCCCGGTACCTTCTTGTCACTGAGGCCCGACACGGTGTCTATGTACTGCTCCTGGATCATGAAGGCGGCCAGGTTGGCGGTGTAGCTGGCGAGGAAGATGACGGCGAAGAAGGCCCAGACCAGGACCATGATCTTGCTGGTGGTGCCCCGGGGGTTCTCGATGGGCACCGAGTTGTTGAAGACCAGCGCCCACAGCAGCCACACGGACTTGCCGATGGTGAAAGACGGGCCCCCGGACTCTGCGGGGGGAGGGGTGGGGAGGGCCACAGGGTGGACCCGGGGGCTCCTCCTGCCCTCCCCGGAAGGGCTCGGGTCCCAGCCCCCCGCCACAGGAGACCCCAGCCCCTCCAGCTTACTCTTGCCTCTGGCGAGGTTCTGGCTGTAGCTCACGGGACTGAAGTACTCGAACATGAAGACGGTGATGGCCACCACGGTGAGACACATGACAAACATCATCACCCACACCGCGGGGCTGTAGGGCTCTGGGGAGGGGGGCGGGCAGCTCAGAGGCCCCCGTGGACAGCGGGGCCCACGTGGTCCACAGAGGGGCCGTGGCTCAGCAGCGGGGGCCCAGAAGGCACCCCTCCACCCTCTCCTCACTCCTCGTGGTCCCCACGGAGGCCCTGCCCCCAGGGGTCCTCCTTTGACCCAGCGCCCCCTGCCGGGCGCAGCGTGCACAGCTTGGCCCTTCTGCCTAGAGGCAGCCTCTGGGGTCGGGTCCTACTCCCCACGCTGCTGCCAGGGAGCTGGAGAGAGGGACCGGAACCGCGGCCTCCTGCAGCCACTCGCTCCCCCACCGTGAGCTCAGCCTGTCGGGTGGGTTTGTTCTCTTCCCTGTGGCCAGGAGGCTCTGCCTTGCCCAAGGCCACGCGGCAAGAAGGGGTGGAACAGGATTCCCGCCACCCTCAGCCTGTCCTGGGGCCCTCCCTGCTCCCTCCCTCGGTGCCACTCAGCTGCAGGTCCTATACCTGTGTGCTCTGGGAAGGCGCGGGAAGTGGCTGTGTCCCCAGCACTGGCAAAGGGGTTGCCCAGTAAATACTGAGCCCCGATCCTTGGGCGCCTCTTCTACACTCCCAGTCGACTTCTCGACTCCCCCCCCTTATTCCACGGCCCCTGCCCAGGCCACAGCCTGAGGCTGGCCCGCCTCCCTGGTGTTCCTAGCCCTCACAGGGATGCCCCCACCCCACCCCCACCACAGGCCCCCGACACCCAGGATTGAACTTCTTCCTGCTCCAGCCCCCTCGCCCCTGCTCCACCTTGAGAGCCCCCCAAGGCCGCTGGGCCGGCCGCTGAGAGCCCACCCCACGCGCCTCCGTGTCCAGCTGCCCCACCCAAGGCCCCTCGGGCGCCTCACCCAGGAAGGCCGAGGGGGAGACGGTGCCATTGCTCCGTGCCACCATCACGCTGATGCCGGTCTCCACGAAGGGCACGGAGAAGTCCACGATCTCGGAGCGCTCCTCGTTGATGGTCAGGGAGCCGATGGCCATGTCCGCCCGCTTGTAATACACCTGGGGGCCGCGGGAGGGCAGGAGGGGCTCCCGAGGGCTCCCGGCAGCCCAGCCGAGGCAGCTGCTCCCCCCGCCCCGGGCTCCTGGGAGCCCAGATTTCAGCGCTGGCCACCCCAGGTCCTCACTGGTGACAGCCCGGGGTCCCCTCCGCGCGGGCGGGCCTACCTCCCCGATCATGCCGTTCCACACACCGCGCACCCGCTTGCCGTGCTTGCCGTTGGTCACCAGGTACAGGTCGTACGAGAACTTGACCACCTTGGCCAGCTTCTTGAGGATGTCCATGCAGAAGCCCTTACAGCACAGCTTGGTGTAGGGGGCGGCGTCCCCGCTGCTGCAGCCATCAGGGGTCAGCACCCCGCGGCCAGCGCCGCCCCAGCCGCTCCGCCCAGCCCCTGCCCCCACCCCGCCACCCCGGCAGGCAGCACACAGCTCTGCGGACCTGAAGGTGTGGTTGCTCTGCCTGCGGCAGGGCACGGTGTTGGGGACGCAGCCACCCGTGCCGGGGTCGGGGCTCTCGACGATGACGAAGGGCCGCTCTTCCAGTGTGGCCACGGTCAGGTGCCGGCTGTCCACCACCGGCTGCAGGGAGGCGCTGTAGCGAGGCCACACCGGGTACTTCATGTGGAGGACGCCGTGTTCCCAGCGCCCCACCTGCGGAGGGGGCTGGCCTCAGTCTGCGTCCAGCCCTGTACTGCAGCTCGGGGTGGGGGGGGTGGCCTCTGGGAGGGGACAGCCTAAGGCCCAGGGTGGGAGTCGGGGTAAGGGACTGAGCATGGGCCGGAAGGGCAGGCTTCCCGCAGTCACCTCCTGGCCCTGGACCCTGTGCTGGCCACGCAGCCCGGACTGACCGTGTCCCACAGCATTCGGTGTCCCTGACCTTGGCATAAAGCCCCTGGCAGAGCAGAGCGCCCAAGGCCCTTCACGCTGGGGTCAAACATACCCCCGCCATCCCACTCCGCTCCCTCAGCCTCCATGCCCCAAACACACGCACCCCAGCGCTGCAAATCGTGCCAAGCCCACCGCCCCTCTTCTAGCACCCCTTCCTACTGGGATCCTGCTCAGCCCTCCACAGCCCAGCTCAGATAGCCCATCATCTGTGACATCCCCCACCCAGTCTCCCGCGGCTCCTCCTGTCCACTCCCGTAACGCTCTGCACCCTTCTCTGTCCAGGCGCTGATTTTCCCGTATCCTGCGTGTTCACCTGTTCCTCTGGCCAGCACCCCTGCCAGGACCATGTGATAAGAGCAGCTGGTGAGGTCTGCAGGTGCTAGGGGCCCCTCCCCCACCCCGGGGCCCTGGCAGGCTTCCCAGTGGAGGAGCCCTTGCGCCTGAGCCCTGGACAGTGAGGAGTCAGAGGAAAGGAAACACACAAAGGGCTCTCTGCACAGCCCGGGGCTGGAGAGGGACCCGGGGGCCCCGGGCTCACCCCCTTCTCACCATCTCCCAGAGGCGGTGCCGGTTGAGGGCGATCACAACCATGGTGGGCTGCACCAGGTAGCCACCGGGGCTGAAGGAGAAGTCTCGGCCCTCCCAGGTGATGTTCAGCAAGTGCCTGCCAGGGAGGGAGCGAGGCAGCCTGCTTCCTGCCCAGGATCAGCCACCCCCACCGCGGCGCCAGCCTCCCCACCCCCAAACACAGGGAGCATTGATTGTACTTTGGGTCCTGGTCCCTGAGCCGGGCCATACCCTGACACCAGCAGGTGTTCCGATGAGCATGCTAACACCCCCCAGGTGACCTGGCCCCCCGCCTACAGTGGCAGAGGTGTGGCCAGGGGCCCAGGCTCACTGCCTGCGGGTCTCCTGAAGCCCCCCACCCCACCCGCTGCCGCCGCGGTGCCCATGCCCCGTGCAGGTGCCCACCTGTAGAAGGCCTCCCGGGCAGGGCTGACGGGCCCAGCATGACCCCGGCAGTCCCCGGCAGGCGCGGGCAGGGCGCCGTGCTGTCGTCGGTAGCTTTGGGCGCCCAGGGCCAGGATGGCCACGCCGTCGCGGATCTTCTGGCGCAGGCTGAGGCGCCAGCTCTCAGTGACAACACTGATGAGGCCCACAGGGAAGGCGGCGGGGGGCGTGTCGGTACTGCCCAGCGCCAGGCTGGGCACCAACCACACGTGGCCAGGCCCCACCAGCCCGGCCTGCGCCGCCTCGGCGAACAGCACCTCGGCCTCGTCGCGCGAGCAGTAGGCCACCAGCACGGGCGCGTCGACCTGGCGCAGCAGGCGCTGGGTGCGCGCGCGCGGCCCGCCGGGCCCCAGCTCCAGCGTGAGCACGTCCAGCAGCCGCCAGCCCACGTAGCCGGCGTCGGCCGCGGCGCGCACACCCTCGAGGAAGAGCGCGTGGCCCGGGTGCAGGCTGGTGATGACGGCGAACGCGCTCCAGCCGTACTCCTCCAGCACCTTGAACAGCACGTGCAGCTGCTGCTCCAGGGACACGCCCAGCTGCAGGAAGGCGGAGCCCGGCTCCTGGGGCGGGGCCGGGGCGGGGCCTGAGCCGGGGCGGGGCCGGCCGCGCCCCGCCCCGCGCCCCTCCCTCCCCGGGTCCCCCTGGTCGCCCCGGGCTAGCTCTGCCTGCGCGCTCCCCGACGCCCCTGGGAGTCCCCCTGGGGCTCTTTCAGGGCCACTTCTGTCCGACCCCCAGGCCCCTCCTGGGAGCTGGCTGGGCCTGCAGATGCGCCCCTCGGGGCAGAATCTCTAGGTTGCCCGGGATCGTGGGGTGATTTCTTGGGCCGCTAGTTGGAGGGGTGGCCCAGAGCAGTAACTGAGTCTGACCCACAGAGGGCTGTGTTTTCTCACGGGCACCGCGAGGGCGGAGGACCCTCGGCCTCAGCGTCCGGCGGCGTCCCGCGAGCCCCGCCCTGAGAGGCCCCCTCCTCCCCGAAAACGCAGGGCTCTGCCCCCAGCAGCACGCGGCCGCGCCATCGGCTCCTTCAACAAGGTGTAAGCAGAAGGCGGAGGAGCTGAGATGCCGCGGCAGCCCGCTGCCACGCGTGGGCCGTCTCTGATCCAAGCAACATGGCTGCCACTGAGGAGCAGGTGGGGGGATCCGGACCCTGGGTGGCTGATGTTCAGGAATTCTATTATTACTTAGAGGTGGTCATGCACAGTGCTTTTATTTAAGTCCTTCTCTGCTGACCACACACACTGAAGTGTTTGTGGGTGGAATCAGTGGGATGTGCGGGCTTGGCTTTCGGTAACAGGGAAGAAGGGAGTGGGGGGAGTGAAGGCGTAATGGCCAGGATGGGTGGGGGTCCGGGGGGTTATTCTCTTTGGTGTGTGCTCAAAATTCCCCACAATAAAAACAGAAAAGGCAAATGAGAGCAGTGGCTTCCGTGTCACCTGCCCTGGCCACCCACCTACTTAGGATGAACCCAAGGACCATCCCCGTGGTCGGGGTCCCACCTCCTTCTCCAGGCTTCTCTCCGCCCTCACCATGAGCCTCTGCCTCCAGGTCTCTGACACCATTTCTTGGGAGACCCGCCCTCTCCGACCCTGTCCACACGGGTGCCCCTGAGCGTCCCCCAGGCCCTCTGAGCGCTGGTCCCAGTTTGGAGATGCAGATGATCGTTCTGCCCAGGAGCATGCAAACTCCACTGGACCAAGGCCCTTTCTGCCCTCCCCCGTGCCTGTGACAGTGACCTGTCCCCAGAGTGCTCCCCGCTACAGGTTGCCCGGAGAGCCAGGCATCAGATCCCACGCCCGCTCCTCCCTCACCGGACCCAAGAGGACAGGAGAAGCAAAGAGGCTGATGGGGGACCTGACCACTGTGGCCAGAGGGGCCCTGGGCCCCTGCCCAGCACTCACGCAGACACTGATGGGAAACGGTCCAGGTTGCTGGCCTTCAGGACCTTGAATACCGTGCAACTGCCTTCGCCTGCTTCCCACCCCTCCTCCGGCCCCACCCCTTGCTGGTGCCACCCAGTGCCAGCTTCCCAGAGCCTAGGCCTCCCTCTGCTCCCCAGGGACCAGGGGACATGAGCTTGGACGGGCACCTTGGGGGTGAGGACCACAGCAGAGCCCCCGCTGATGCTGAAGATGGGCACGTGGGTCTGGGAGGAGATGAAGTCCAGGAGCTGAGCCACCGCCTCGGTGCCCACGTTGTCCTCAAAGATGATGCCGTGGACGCGGGCGGCCCCCAGGAGGCTGCAGATTTGGGTGAGGAGGCTACTGGGGTTGGTGTTGTTGACGCCCACGGTGAGCGGCCGGATCTCCAGGGGCAGGTCCAGGAAGTTCTGGGAGGTGAGGCGGGGCCGGGCCTGGGCCTGCGGGAGCCCGGAGCTCCCGAACACGATGGCGACCGTCACAGCCTGCTCACCCTGCCCCAGGCCCAGGCCCGCCCAGGCGCCCAGGAGCCAGGTAAGCAGCAGGGCCAGCCCCAGAGCCCCACCCATGTCCACTGCAGGGTCCTGCGGAGAGAGCAGGGCGGGCACAGGGAGCGAGGCGGGGCCCCGGGAGACAGATGGACAGACAGAGGCGGGAGGTGATGTCCAGAAGATGTGAGGGAAGAGGGCGAGCCTCCCCCGGGGCAGAAGGGAGCGAGGAGGAGACAGACAAAGACAGACAGAGAGAAAGAGACGGGGGTTAGCTGGGAGCCGCAGGTGTCCCACAGGGGCAGCAGCTGGGGGGCAGGGGGCAGGGGGTTGTCACCCTCCGGCCCGTGATCGGCACACTCAGCTGGAGAGCAGACCTGCCGGGCAGGAGGCACTGAGACCGCCAGTCTGCCAGTCAAGGGCGTGCAATGAGTCAGATGGGCCCGATCCGAGTCCCAGTGCTGCCTTGGGGGTGGGGGCGCTGTGTGACCTCAGGGATGCCACCTGCCTCCCTGAGCCCATCACAGCGCACGAGGGCTCAGAGGAGATGGCCAGGGTTTGCAGCGTTTAGCAAACTTCTATAAGAGGCGACTGCCCCTCAGCTGTTGGGACACCCCACGGCCGCTCCCAGGGCCCCCAGCAGGCTGCAGTGGCCCTGCCATCTGGCCCGCGCCGGGGCCCAGGTTACTGCCCAGCGTGTCCTGCTTGCCACACAGCCAGCCCGGAGGCCGCCTCAGTGTGGCCCGCCTGGCACAGAGCCCCCTCCCCAGGCCCGGGACCTCCGCCCACCCTCACCCATGGCCCCCGTGGCCTGGCTGAGTGGCTGCTCCCCAGGTCCACACTGCTGTGTGCGATCCTTTCACTGAACACGGAGCGGGGCTGCTTTATGCCCCTGCTACGCGCCATCGTTTTGGATTGGGACCGAGAGCCAAGACGGGGAGGGTGGCATGAATCCGAGAGGAGCCCCCTGGTGGAGCTTTGCCGCCCAGCTGGCCCTGGCCACGGCCTCGCCACCTGTCCGTCTTCATCACTCGCCCAGCAGAACCTCTGACCGGGGGAGAGCAGGTATGGGGAGGGGTGACTGCTCCAGCGCCCTCCAGGACGTGCACGTGTCTTCGACAGAAGCACAGGACCACACCCAAGCAGCTGCCGCCACGCCTGCCCAACACCAGCAAGGCACACGCCTGGCAGGGCTGGGACCTGAGAAACTGGCCGGGCGGCTCTAATCCTCCCAGGGCCCTGCTCCTGCTGCTACCGATCTCTCTCTTCCACAGGTACACGGGCTTTCCTGGGACTCTGGTTCTTTCCAAGGAAGCCAGGGAGCAGGCAAATGCTAGAGGCCACCAGGGGACATGGGGGACGCCTCCTCCTCTTCTCCCCATGGTTACTGAAAAGACGGCTCCAAGGGAGACCACCAGACAGACTCTAGAGTTCAGAAATGCAACACGGGGTTGCTACCATGGCACAGCGCGTTAGGCCATCGCCTGCAATGCCAGCATCCCACATGGGCGCCAGTTTGAACCCCAGCTGCTCCAGTTCTAATCCAACTCCCTGCCAATGCTCCTGGGAAAGCAGTGGAAGATGGTCCAAGCCCTTGGGCCCCTGCACACTTGTGGGAGAACTGGAGGAAGCTCCTGGCTCCTGGCTTCAGCCTGGACCAGCCCCAGCCACGTGGCCATCTGCGGGAGTAAACAAGTGGATGGACGATCTCTCTCTCTCTCCCTCTCCCTCTCTTCGTAACTCTTTCAAATAAATAAATAAATCATTTTTTAAAGATTTATTTATTTATTTGAAAGTCAGAGTCACACAGAGAGAAGGAGAGGCAGAGAGAGAGAGAGAGGGAGAGAGAGAGAGAGGGGGAGAGAGTTCCATCCGCTGTTCACTCCCCAACTGGCCGCAACTGCTGGAGCTACGCAGATCTGAAGCCAGGAGCCAGGAGCTTCCTCCGGGTCTCCCACGTGGGTGCAGGGGCCCAAGGGCTTGGACCACCTTCCACTGCTTTCCCAGCCACAGCAGGGAGCTGGACCGGAAGTGGAGCAGCCGGAACTCGAACTGGTGCCCATATGGGATGCCGGCACTGCAGGCGCAGCTTTACCCACTACACCACAGCGCCGGCCCCATAAATCTTTTGAAAAAAGGAAAAGAAATGCAACTGGGTGCACATCCTGAACACCTTCTGGATGGTGGGCGCAGTGCGGGTCCACCAGCCCTGCCCGCCAGGAGCTCCAGGCCGCATCGCGGAACGAGCAGGCTGCAGCCGACCCCCAGTCTCCTGCTTCCAGACTTATTGCACTTCCCACCAACACCCTGCGCTCCCTACTCTGCCCCAGCTCCCAGCCTCCCCCACCCAGACCTCCTCTCCTCTCGGCCAGGGATCCAGAGCTCATCCCTGTGCTGGAGGAAGAGACCTGATAACAGTGTGATGTCCTAGCCCTAACAGATCAGAGCCTCACGCGGAAGTGCCGGGTGGTGGAATCCTCACCGGCTGAGAAGCCGAGATCTGGGGCAGGACCGGGACTGCTGCATTCACGTCGGTGCCCGCTCAGATCATCCGCCCCGGGCTCCTGTCTGCGTCCGACACGTGACCCCGAGCCAGGCCAAGCCGCACCACACCTCGGTTACCACCAATCAGGGACTTCGAATCCTGACAGCAAAGGGCACCGTCACGCCCACTGCCCCGGCTGCGCAGCCTCTGTACCCTCATCTGTCCACAGCGCCAGTCCCTACAGGTTCCCTGCACCCCCCCTCCCACTAAGCTTCAGACGTGTGCTGTCCGGTACAGAATCCCCTAGACCCAGGCAGCTAACTCCGATTACTGGAACAGCTTCTCACCCAAGCCAAGGTGTTCGGTAAGCGTCAAGTGCACGCTGCAGGTCGCAGACAAAGACTGGGGAGGCTCTCGCCTGTGTTGTTATGTGAATCGTGTATTGAAACAATAGCATTATGCATCTGGTGAGTGAAGATGCACTGTTACAATTAATGCCGCTGGTTTCTTCTCTCTTAATACGGCTACTGGAAAATGCAAAATGGCACTCGGAACTCCCGGTGATATTTCAGCCTGACCCCGCCTGCAGGGCCCAGGCCTTCTCCCAGCCCCTGGAGACTCTGCCCACCGGGACCCTGTCCTCCTGGGTTGGAGGTGGGGAGGAAGGGAAGTCAAGGCAGGCTGTGCCTCCAGCCGGGAGGTCAAAAATAGGGACGGGATCACAGAGTGGCAGGGACCAGGGAGGTCTCTGGGCTCACACAGCAATGGACAGACCCAAGGGCACCCAGCGCCACGTGAGGTCCCGCCAGCCCAGAGAGGCAGGAGGGACAGACCCCCGCCCTTCCCAGCCCAACCCCCCCACCAGCCTGCCCCCTCCTTGTCCACTGCCCACCCTCTCTGTCGCACTGGGGCTGACGACACTTCCTGTGGTCCTTGCGCCTCCCCTCTGCCCCACCCAAACAGGACAGCCACTGCCTGGCGCCCACACAGCAGTCCAGAGACCTCAGCAGCAGGTGCAGGGTCCTACGCACCCCAACCCTCGCCCTGCCATCACCCCGCCTCCATGGTTCCCAGAATCCTGCCAGCCTGATGGCCAAATGGGCCCACTCTGTCCTCTCCAGGCCCGGCTTCGGCGCTCCAGGGCTGGATGGCTCCCTCCTATAGGCAGAAGTCTGCTGTCCCGGGAGCCCACTGAACCCCTCTGCCACAGACTCCTGGACCTGCTCGGGAAGACACAGGGGCTGGGTCTCAGGGCTCTTCCTCTGCTCGCTCCGCCTCCGTCCCGCCCTGTGCAGGTCCTTGTCGCGGTCCGGATGCCCCTGCCCACCCAGGCCCCTGGGCTCCTGGATCTCAGATACCCCCGCCCACCCACGCAGGGTCTCACCTCGTTCACAAAGGCAGGGGAGAGCATGGCGGTGCTCAGGCCCCAGGACCCTCGGCAGGGCCCGGGCTCCTCTGGACTCAAGTCGTGCACACGCCTGCGTGCGCGCGCCCACGGCCGGGACGTGACGGCTCCAAGGGACCCTGGCTGCCTGGAGCCACTGCCCCTCCCTGCCGTCGGGCTTCCCAGCCTCCCTCCTTTTGGCCCAACCCACCCCTGACCCCGGGCTCCAGACGAAAGGCCGCCTCTCCTCGTGCGGTCCTGGGTGCGGCGGCGCCGAGACCCCACTCCTCCCGGCGGATCCAGCGCGGTCCCCGGGGGCGCCCCCCCCCTCCCCTCCCTGGAATCTCTTACACTCGGGCTGTGAAGTTCGGGGTATTTTTAGGCCGGTGATAAATAATTCATGGGCACCGTGGCATCAGGCTGCCCCCGCGGGAGGAAGGGGCGCGAGCGGCGAGAGCCACCGTCACCCGTGGCTCAAGGACACTCGCGATGCGGTGGCGGCGGCGGCGGCGGCTTCGGGCGCGGGGACCCGCGCCACGCCTCCTGGCGGCCAAACTGGGCACCACGCACCCGGCGCCCCCTGCCTCCTGCGGCCCCCTGCAGGGGTCCCCCGCTCCCCGGCCCTCAGTCCCTTCCCCAGGCTGGGTCACGACCTCAAGCCCCCCACCCCCCGGGTCTGAGACGGCGGAGTCGGCCGGCCGGGGCGCGCCCGAGGGCCCCTGCCAACTCGCGAATCCGGCTTCCTGCCCCTTTCCCGTTCTTGTTCTCGGGAGTTCGGGTGCAGGCTCCAAGCCAGGAGCACGGCTCCGAACCGCGGGCGGCGGGAAAGCACCTCGCCTCGGTGTTACCGTGGGGACGGCGCCGCCCTCCCAGGGCCGGGGGCCCGCCCAGAAGTCCCCCTGGGCGAGCAGGGCCTGGGACTGATAGAGACGGCGGCCCCACGGGAGTCCCCGCGCACGGGCCCAGCAGGACCTCTGGGGAGTCGCGGTGGCGCCCTTGCAACCACCAGGTGCCTTTCTCTCCAGTCCGGCCCCTGCAGGCCGGGCCGGGGACACCCGGGCAGCAGGAGGCTCCAGCTTCCAGTCCCAGCCGTCGGGGATCCTGGTTGGAACCCCGGGGGCCCCAGAGCCTCCCGCTGGTGCCGCAGCCAGCTGGGCACGGGGCTGGCACTCCTCACCCACCTCCCCCTCTGCTTCCTAAGGGCCTGGGTCTGCCAGACGCAGGGTCGGCATTTGGAAGGTCCCATCACCCCCCAAGCCCACTCTGATTCCCTGAGGGCAGAAGCAGGGGGCCGAGGGGAGGAAGGGGAGCTGGGAGGTGAGGGCCTGAGGGTGCCCGCGGGTGGAGGGGTCGGAGACACGGCAGCAGGTGCTCAGAGCCCCAGAGGACCGGGGACCTGGCTCCTGGAGCTGCCACTAACCCCTGGCCTGGGGTGCTGTGCCCCTCCAGCCCCCAAACCCCAAGAGATGGAGCCATGGCCCAAGCTCCCGGTCCCCCCTCTCCCCAGGGGCTTCCAGCAGCAACAGTTGGGGGTCCCGGCAGCCCAGACTCCCTGGTCTCCGCACCGCTGAGGCTTCGCGGTGCTGCGGCGCCGGGCGAGGGAGAGGAGGGCTCGGCGACCCTGGGGACGAATGTCTCGGGCACTCCGCCTGCACTCTTCCCTCGCGGCCGCGGGGAGCCTGTCTCCTCGGCCTCTTTTCCCCCTCGCCTCTTCCGCCCAGGTCCAGGTCCAGACCCCAGGCCAGGTCCCGATCCACCCCTCCCTCGGACCCCCTGCGGGCCGGACCCTCCCCAGGTGTCCCGTGTCTCCTCCGTCCTTGCCCGCGGGGAGCCTGAGACCACAGCCCCAAGTTGGCCGGGAAGTTGGCGCCCACGGTTCGCCCCAGCCCGCCACTCACCGAGGGGAAGGGGTGCTGCGCCCGCGCTGAGAGCCCGCGCTGGCCGCCCGCCGCGCGGGGCATGTCCCGGCGCTCCGCCGTGCGCGCTGGCGGGCTCTGCTAGCTCGGCGGGCGCCTGAGCCCGGTGCCCGCGGCGCGGCCAGGCGGGTGAGCCGGGCCCGCCCCCCGCGCCCCTCCCGCGGCCAGCTGGGCACGGGGTTCGGGCTCGGGCAGCGCTGCGCGCCGCGCCTCCGGCTCCCCGGGATCGCCAGCAGACTGTGGCGGAGCGCTCGCCGCTGCCCGCGCCGGCTCCGCCCCGTCCCGGCCGGCTGCCCGCTCGCGCCCCTCAAGGTCCCTCCGGCTCCCCCCTCCCAACCTGCTGGCCCGCGCCGGAGACGCCAGAGTCCCCTCTCTCCTGGCCCCTGGCCCCAGACCCGACACTGGGAGGCAAGGGCCCTCCGGGAAAACGCAGCCCGAGCAGCCCGGAGTTGGAGCCCGCAGCTCCCCGGCCCTGTGACCTTGGGGCCTTGGACTCGGAGGATCCCTCATTTATAAAGTGAGCCCAGCACTTGGGGGGCTGTCCCGAGATGTGGCGACTGCGAAAGTGCTGTTTTTAAAGGATTGTGGATCTGGCCTGGGACGCGGCCGAAGGGAGGACTCGGGCCAGCACCCAGCCCAGGGGGCCGTGCCGCCGGGAGGGCCGGGGCGAGCTGCTGCCGGCTTCCCCTTTCTTGACTGGCTGGGACTGTTCTGGGGGCTACCCAGAGACGGAAACAGGCAGTGGGGCCAGCAGAGCCAGAAGGCTAGGGTCTGATCTGGGGTGCCCGCAGTGGGTGCGGAAGACCGGCAGGGCAGGCAGCGGGGCCAAGCTGAGAGCGGAGGGTGGGTGCCTGCCAGGCCCCGCAGCCAAACCCCCTGGAGCCCTGAGCCGGAGCTCTTGCCTGCAGCGCCACCTGGCGGCCACAGGTGAGCGCCGGCCAGAAGGTGACACCCCCACCCCCACCCCAGAAGTACTCATCACACACAGCCCTGGGTTGTAGCCTTTTATTTCCAGCCCTGTCCGGCCTCGTGGCCCTGCACAGCAGGACGGAGGTGGGAGAGAGCAGTCCCCCGCAGCCCCGCCCACCCTCACTGCCTCCATGCGGAGAGCGCGCCCCGCACCGGCCAGGGGCGCGCTCCGGGGCCGGGGCAGGCAGCAATGCGGCCGGCCCCCTGCCCGGCGCTGCTCTCCTCTCCGCCCTGCCCTGCCCTGCCCTGCCCTGCCGGGGGCGGGGGGGGGGGGGCTCAGCGCCCCAGCAGCCGCAGCATCTCCTGAGTGTCCACCAGCTTCTCGCGGGGCTTCCCAGCGCCCTGGCCCCGGGCCACCTCCTCGGCATCTAGCTTCTCCCAGTCTGAGAAGGACACCGGCCGGACCCCTGAGCGGAGCGGAGATGAGTCACCCCCACCCCCACCGCTGCCTTCCCGCCCCGCCCCGCCCCCTCCCAGGGCCCAGACCTCGGCTGCTGAGCAGGGCCTGGACGGCCGCGAAGCCCGGCCTGGGCCCCGCGGGCAGCAGCCCAGCCCTGAGGTCCTGCAGCAGCGTCTGGCCGGTGAGAAAGCTGTCCGTCATGGTGGTGGCGATGACGCCCGTGGGTCCCCGCTTCACCCAGCCGCTGCAGTAGAGGCCTGAGGGGCACAGGTACCAGAGAAGGTGCTGCACACCCCGTCTCTGCGCACGCGCGCCCAAGCCTGCCAGCCGGGCCACCGTGGCCACTGTCCCCAGCCCGCGCCGCCCAGTGCCCCGGGTCCCTGCAGTGGAGGAGCTGCCGGGAGGGGGGCAGAGCCGGGGCTTGGCCACCTCGGGCTTCCGCGGCCCCTACTGCACGGGGCACTGATCAGACCAAGGGGCCGCCCTGCTCCCTCCACTCCCAGCACCGGGCTCAGGGCCAAGCGCACAGCAGCCCTCAGTAAAAGGTTTGTTGAATGACTGCAGGAGCAGGTGTGTGGCCTGGGGGTCCTGGACAGATGGGGACCTCCCTGGGGGCCAGGGAGGGGCCAGGGTGGGTCCCGGGCAAGGGCCTGCCTGGAGCGGCTTCCCGGCATGCTCTGTGTAAATAAGTAAGAGCGGAGGAAGGCGTGGCCCGGCTTCCTCGGCCCCACTTCTCTCACCTGGCACGTCCACAACCCGGCCCTCGGTGTTGGGGATGACCCCAAGTTTGGGGTCAAAGGGCACACTGGGGTCGATGGGGCGGCTCTTATACCCGACGCTGCTCAGCACGAGCCCACAGGGGAGGTCCTCCGTGTCTCCCGTGGGCACCGCCCGGGTGGCCTCGCCGGCTCCCTGTCGGGCAGAGCGTGGGCAGCAGTGGGCTGGGGAGGAGGGAGTGTCGGGCTGCGCCCGGGGAGTGCGAGACTCACCTCCAGCCTGGTGACTGCCAGGCGGACGCCCGCCGCCCGCCGCCCGTCGGCCGAGGGCAGCACCTGCTCCGGGCTGCGGAAGAAGCGCAGGCCCCAGGCGCGCGAGGCCCGGGCCCGGCGCGCGGCCTCCTCCTGCCCCGGCTGCTCCGTGGCGGCCCGCAGCAGCAGCTCCGTCAGCCGCTTCCGCGGGCGAGGCAC